GTGAGAATGTCGAGTCTCTTCTTTCTTAGCATCTTCTTTTCTCCACCCAACTGCTTCTCTGAGCTCCCCAGCCCCACTCCGTCTTATCCTCCCTGAGTCTTCCCCACATCAGTAAATGGCACCACCATCCTCCAATTGCCCAGGCCAAAACTCTGAAGTCCTATTTTCCCCTCACCGTCAGCAAGAGTTGTGAGCTCTCTTAAAAAAAAAGAGACAGAGTATTCAGAATCCTTCAGTGTCCTTCCATCTCCATTGCTACCACCATTAACTCTCTCAGGCTACTGCAGCAGCTTCCTGAACATAATTCTGCTTCTTTCTTTAGCCCCTTATGGTCCCCTCAAACAGCATCCAAACAAGTTTTATTATGCATGTAAATGACATAATGTCGTTCCCTTGCTTCACATCCCCCACTACACTGGTGCCCCACTGCAGTCAGAACTAAACCCAAACGACTATTGTGGCCCCCAAGACTCCCCATAATCTAGGCTTTGCATGAGTTTCCTACTGCCTGAAATGTCATTCCTCACACATCTTCAAAGCTTTTCAAAGGAGCCTTTCTCAACTTTCCAATCAAAATTAGTTCCTTCCTTCCCCAAGTTGTTATCTATCAATTATCCTATTTCATTTTCTCACAGCATTATTATCAGAGATTATCATGTACATATGCTTATTTACCTATTTACTGACTATATCTGACACTAAATATAAGCTCCTTGTGAGCAGAAGCTGCATTTCTCTCACTCACTTGCATCAATGCCCGGCAGATAATAAGCACTCATGAAGTATTTTTTGAATGAGTGAATAACAGAATAGCAGCGCATCGCCCACCCTAAAACTGAGATCAATGTCCCAAACCACCAAACCAAAGGGCCTGGATCAGCATTATTTTTTAGGTGTAGCGGACCCATCTAGAGGATAATGACTTTAAAGATATCTTAAGCAGTATCTCCCAACATCATATCCTGACTCTACTGCTATCACCACTTTCTGAATCAAAAGAAGTGAACATTTGTGACAGACTAGGAGTTTCCTGGCACCTAGAGACAAGCAGCAGATGTCTGAATGATAAGAAGAGGTCTAGAGGAAGCAACTTCCTCAGGAAGCTGTGGGGAGGCCCTGGGCCTTCAGCTGAACGTCAGCCATTAAAGACTTCCACAAAGTATCACCATCAGACAGGCACTGCAAAGACACCAGGGAGAGAATACAGAATCAGACTGAAGTTAGGTGGAAACCACTTCAGTTAGGTTCTAGCCACCACATGACTAGAACTTTTGGCCCTAGGAATTGCAAGAGACACTGGAAAAGGTTAACTATGAAACACTAAGTGCTTATGACTTCCTCAATTTACGGTTGCTAATTTCATTTCACTCTTCTGGGAGTTTAAAGGCATCTTCTGCCTTTTATGTTGGCAAGTGGGAGAACTAGAGGGGACTATATAGCCATGATCATTATCTACAGCTTTGGGGTAAGAGCTTGAGATATCAAGAGTAGCAAGCCAATCACAGAGAAGTAACTGGGCCCTTCCTGTTACAAATGTCTTGTCCAAAGGATTACACGAACTAAAATGCAGATACGGCATATTGCAAAGAAGTTACAAAATCCATTACAGGCAAGAATTTAAATTTAGTCATGCAATTACATTAACCCTAAACTGGAATAAAACCGGACGGTTTAACTATGTAAATGTTTTATTGAAATGTGATTTAAGCTGCTGCCCATCACTGGGGAACAATGACATCCTGGGACAGGAAATTAGAAGAGTTAATGCTACTAAGACAGATATGATATCTTCTCAACCCTGACTGCACTGATTTCTTCTCACCTGAACTTTCAATAATTCACATTTAATGAGACACTGCCACTGGGCTAGTCACAAAAGAAAATAAATCCCTATAATAAATCCCTTAAAGAACGTACAATCTAGCAGGGTAGAAAAGGTGAATATACAGTGTCCTTAAAAGAACGCAATCTTAACTAAAGCTTAGAGGGTGGATACACTGCCTTTGGATGAAGGTTCCAGAACTCTTTCCTGAAGAAGATAACATAGTAGCCTTGGAGGATGGGTAGAATCTTGTCAGCAGAGACTACTGTAGATGGGTGGCTGAGTAAAGGGGTACAGAGAGAAGCACGTGTACTCAGGAATGGTATTACAGTTGGGGCACAGGATGTGGTATGCCAGGGCTAGGGAAGATAACTATCTCTTCAACTATAACTAAGAACAGCGCTTTTCTTCTCTCTTCATATTACCTAATACCAAGTTTGCTACATGGGGTAGGTCCCAAATAATACTTATTGAATAAACAGAGAAGTCAATCCAGAGATTTAAAAATTAAATCTATTCAATTCATTTTCACGTTGCTGCTGCTCCAGATGTTCCTGGGCTTTCCTTTAAAAACTGGGTCACAGTAGAACACTGCATCTCCTTGGTTATGGACAGACACAGGCGTTCTCTCACTCACAATATGGGAACATTTAAAGAAAGCTCACATGGCCAAGAGTGGTTGGGGTGACAAGTATGTATGTGGACATCTGGAAATTTGGAAAGTTTGAGAAAAGTTGTTGGGTCCAATACCTAGTGGGTGTTGAAAAAAAAAGAAGACTGGTCTATAAATCAATTCTATTACTACTATAATCCCAAAATGAAGAGCACTAATACTCATAAAAATTCCAAGAAGCTATCAGTACCTAGAAATTAACTTGTTTTATATTTTCGTTTTCAGAAATACATCCAGTGAATGTGTTCCCTGCCCTGCCAGTAACTTGCTGTGCAACTGCAGACAAGAAGCTTAACTTCCTGAGCCTCCCAACAGGGAGGGTGAAGAGAAGCTGACAACTGGAGGAGGGCCTGGCCTGTGGAGGTGGCCACACTCCCAGTCTGCTCAGATGCATTTGTGGCACAGGCGAGCCCCACACCTCCTCCGAGCCTCACTCTCTGCATGCACATCTGCTAGGCGGGGATGCCACTAAAACACAGATCCTCTTCACAATTTTTCCAGCCATTTGTTTCATGATATCTAAGGTACCTTTAGGTTCTAAAATGTCCTCTGGATCTATTTTATGATCTCATCTTTAGATTCAAGGACAAAGCCTTGAGAGAAACATCTTCTTAAGTGAATCTAGCAACATGCAGGCTCCAAAAGCCATTTCTAAAGCATTAGTCATTAACAGCATAAATAGCAAACAAATAATGATTAGAATACAGAAATTAAACATTTAAAAAGCCAGTGGTTGCCAAATCATAGAACATATATTTATATATATTTTTATTAGTCATCATAAATCCATTACAAATCATATATAAACTTATATATATACATATATATATCCACATTTGCTTCTACAAACACACATACACACACACATACACACACAGTCTAAGGATTACTATAAAGACAAAAGGAAAGCTATTATATGCCTCAACGAATAATCTAAAGCCTACTACTTTATTTTTTTTACATATGTTTAGGGGGTATAAGTATGGATTTCTTACATGCATATATAGTGCATTGAGGTGAAGTCTGGGCTTTTAGTGAACCCATAACCCAAACAGCGATCATTGTACCTAATGGGTCATATTTCAACCCTCACCCCCACCTCCCACTCTCCCACCTTTTGTAGTCTCCAAGTCCACTACTTTAAATGCAGTAGCACCCATAGCTACAAGCTTCAAATTCACAAGTCAGTGTGAATTTTACTCTTGTGTTTTTATCAAAGACATATGTCTAGTGAACACATTGACTTTCCAATCCCACATATCAATGTTTAAAGTTTTATATAGTTTTTATATAGTCTAAAACATGGCCATTCTTCAAAGGACAATAATGTTCTTAATGCAGATATCTGGTTATCTTTAGTGTTTAGATGTTTGATTTTTATAATTCTATATTATTTTTTAAAATATATACTCATGCAAACTCATACATTCAGACTAAAATACATATACTCACAGAAAGTGAAACCTACTCTAAGTAACTATCCAAGAATACATTTACATAATATGGGCAGGAGAGAAGAAGAGATAGGTCATTCCTTTTATAAACAATTATGTTTTGAGACCATTAAGAACATTCGAGTCTAACTGCTATAAACAAAAATCCAACCATAAAAAAGATCCATGTAGAGAGCTTATTACACATTTTGTTTTGACTTACTTTCCCTCTATTCTAGTCACCTCTACCAATGATAGCAACTAGATGACATGTAAACTTCCTTTCAGCTCTCAATACTTTTATCTGCAAATTAAAGATTTATAATAATTAATACACTCTCTTGTCATCACGACCTAAAAATTTTCAAACTAGTCTTTAAATAAATCTGTGTTTGCACAAGTGGGGCAAAAAGAAAAGAGTCGGGGATCTTAATGCACCAAATGTGAAAGATTAGTCTGTAATGTAACGCCGATGTTAATTTCTCAGAAGAAAGGTAAAGTAAGTAGCTGACTAGAATTTATAAAGAGAAATGTCGAATGGAGAACCAGAGCTAAATGTAAATCAGAAGTGAATTCTGTGTGCCCGATGAGCCACTCATTGACCTTGCCTTATAACTACCAATCAAGGCTTCCTGTTCGCCCTGGGCAATTTTTAAGCAGACTTAATGAAACAGTTACACATGTAAGAAATGTAAGCCCAAATCTGAGACGGTAACACTAATTTTCTAATAGTAAGGGTGTGATGTTATCCCCTGCACCACCTGGATACAATATAGAAATGTATAATAAACATTCTCCCAAAGTGCATTATTACCATTCCATCTGGGTGTAGACTGAGATTGCTGCAGAGTAGAGCATTAGTAGAAATATCCCCCAAAATGTTATCCCCAAGTTATTGAATGTTATAATTTTTTTAATAAAAAAGAAGAAATCAGTGTCTTCAAGTCTTGATTCTTTAATAATAAGCCGCTTCACAGCTCCAGGAGTTTTGAAGTGAACACATCTCCTCTGGTAGCCCCTCACCCCCAGCCTGCCAGCGTCTATGCAAGTGAAACCTATGAGTCTGTCTTACCTGTAATCTGACTCTGTCCTTGTGGATTAAAAGGACTTGGTGCAGAGTTCAGGGAGGGCCGTGGGTTCTGAGGCGGGACACCTACTCTCATACTGGGATGAGGAATGCGCCCTAAATCACTGAGGCGGTCAGAGAACAAACTAGGTTTAGAGTCATCAAGCTTCTGTCTGTGCCCTGGAAATAGCAAATCATAAAATAAAAGCATATTAATTAGCTGAACAATTGACCATGCTAAATAGATATGTGAACATACAAACTGGGAGTTTAAGCCAAGGAATTATCAAGATTAATATTTATAATGACGTGTCTACATAATGCCTTCCATTTCAAATTGCTTTATGAGCGGTATCTGGTGGCCAGCATTCCTAGCTGTGCTTTATAAATGGAGAGCTGAGGTCTCAGAGGGCAACTTGGAGTCAAGCATCAGTAGAGAGGCCAGATACTAGGCGCCTTCTCTGGTCCTCTCAGTGAGAAAAAAAAAAACAAACAGGAGAGGTGTGTATTGGGGGTGTTTGCTTGTTTCATGATGGAGGAAATCCCCTCTGAAAGTTCAGAGAGTCCATGCATGTTAGCCACAATGTCACAAAGCTGGAGCAGAGACACAGACAAACACATTTGTCAAAGGGAAGTTTCCACGAAGACCATGGTGACTTTTCTTTAACGTTACAACTACTCTTTACTAAGACTCTTTTCTGGAAAATTATAACTCAAACCTAAAGCCCTCTAAGAAATAAAAAAACAGAAATGTAAGCAGGGAAACTCAAATTCTCAAGAGGAATCTGGATATTTTGTGATATGCCCAAGCTGGAAAGTGTATAACAAACTCTGTTAAATCAGAGAGAATGCTTTTTTATTTTAAATCCACTACTGTGGTTTTGGAAAAGAAGCTGAAATATACTCTTTAAGTAAACATGTGACTGTGACAATTCATTATCTGGGGGGGGGGGGGAAACCTTTCTATCTCTCTTCCAGTTTATTCAAGTCTAAAACCTAAGGAAATTCTAAGTATTAGAGAAATACGCAAAATTAAAATAAACCAAGGTATTAAGACTTCTTAAAAATCATCAAATCATTCTTAACAAGAGACATACTAGTGTCTTGGTGCAAGTATAACAGAAAAGCATCTGAATATGGGTGTGCCATAGTAGAGTAAATCTATAGGGTGGTGCTATTGGGAACAGATGCAATGCCTAATAGAGAAACAGAAATGGACTGTGGATTCCTTCCTCCAGATTCTGTGCCAGTGAGGCCCTAGGGTGCTGCCCCAACATTTTAGTATAACTATTAAGTGACTGAAGCTGATTCAAGGAAGAGCCGCCAAGATGATGATGGGATTAAAAGTTTGCCCCTTGAAGAGAAACTAAGGGAATTAGAATGGTATCCATAAAAGAAAAAAACCTTGAAGAAGGTTTATGACAAGGCTTCAAGCATGGGAGTTTTTCACTACTCTACGGGTAACGCAAACGTCTTAGCTTCCACTTAATACAGAACAAGAGGAATGTATCAGGATAGGGTTAAATTGAATATTAGAATTTCCCAACTATAAGCTGTCTTCGTAAGACAAATTCCTTATTTTATTTGCCCCAAAATGTATTTTCCTGTCTCCTTTTTCATTGCCTACCCAGCCCAAAGAAAACAGATAGGAAGCCAAGGCTTGGTAATATGAGTGTAGCTGTCTCCACGGCCAAACGTGTTCCAACTAGACCCATTAACTGAAATGCACCCACCACCCTATTTCCTGCCAGTGCAAGATTTTGGGCATCTGCTATAACAGAGGGACTAGACCTAGGAGAAAAATGAACAGGGAAAATTAGAGAAATTCATTGTTAATGGTTGTTTTCTCCACCATTACTGTTTTGTATACAGATTACAAATAGATTTTAGATCCCTAGAGGACTTTTAGAGATGATCCAAAACAGCTCCTAGACCCTGGCAAGTAAAGTGTTCACCTATGAAGTGACTGAGTTGTGCAGAGGTAGAACAACTAGCTTATGGTCCTCGGCTGCCGACTAGCTCAGCCTCAACGAGGATATAGCCCTGGTCCAAGGTGACTGAGCTTTCCATTCATCATGTGGCACCATAAATGCTGGTATTCTAGCTTTCTCTTCCCTTCCTCTTCCAGCTGCCATGGAGGACTGAAAATATCCAGATCATATAGAGTGAGACACCTAAGAACTAAGCCCAGTGAGGTGCCAAGGCTGGCTTTCAACATAAGCAGAAGTAGCAACAAGGATTCAATTACAAAGTTAATAATTCACCCGTTACCCTAAACAAACGGCTGTAGCCTAACTCACCAAACTTCCATCGGTACATCTTGTTGGGTCTAACTAGTTTCACAATTAGGGAATTATATAGTACTTGTCACAGATCCATGGAGTCTGTGCCTCACACTCACACACACACAGACACACACACACACATAGTATTGGTGTGGTGTTGATACAGCTGTAAACATTAACAAGAAAGCTTACGGAATTGTCCCTGGAAGTTATTTTTCTTAATAGGCCATATTTTTGGAATGGCAGGTTCCCTGAGGGCTGAGGGGAGGGCTACATGATCTTGCATGGTTCCTTTATACACTAGGACTTTACGTGGGCTATGGGTCACAAGAAAATTTAATAAGCTTTGCCTCTGCTTTCTATAGCCTTTTCATTAGGTTTTCCTAGAGGCTGTATGAGATGTGAGCTCAGACTGTACATGTGTGAGTACATTTTTACTTTCTCTTAGCCCAGCGCTTTCAGGAGTAATAAGAGGTTGCAGGCAAAAATAAAGGACTTAGCCTAGGACTGGTAAGTGTGAAGAATTTTAAAGCAGGTGAAATTTTAAAACCCTCAATGACCTTTTGGAAATTGTCTTCAAAGAGTGCTTCCAAGTATCTACAGGCACCCTAGAATAATTCAGGAAACATTTATCTGCAGATGCACACATACAAAAACATATGCATTTTTCTTTGTAGATATCTGCCCCTTCACAGCCACCACTGCAACCACAACAAAATGTACTCTTCATAAAGTATGAAGTACATTGAAGAACAAAGTACATTGAAGAGCAAAAGCCAAACAAGTTCTTCACATTTCAACTATGACAAATACCTGTTACCACTAAACCACATCAGGGTAACACTCGAATGATGGTCTGAAAGAGGGTGTACTTAAATCTCCAGCACCCAATTCCTTCAGAAATCAAGAACATAGAAGACCAAGGACACACTGACTAAGTCAAGGGCAGGGTACTATGTCATAGAGCAGTGAGGACTAAACCTCATCCAAAGGGCCAACGAGTAGATCTTCCAAGCAGGAGAAGGGTATGAAGAATGGAAAACTCCTGTATTATACTTGAGACTCTATGTAAAAATGCTCAGTCCTGGATCCCTACTCTAGCTGAACTTTCTCCCAGAATCCTTCCATCCTTGCTGAATAAGAAAATTCCCTAGGGAGTTTTGAAACATATGGATGTCCAGGCCCCATATCAGATCAATTAAATCAGAATTTCTGATAGTGGGACCCAGGGAAAAGGTCTCTTTTTTTCAAGAGTTCACCACATGATCCAATGTGCAGCCAGGATTGAGAACCACTGCCCAAGGTGATCTCAATCTCATGCACTAAATACCACCTATTTATACCAATGACTCCCCCTTTTCTGGGTTGAGCCCTGACCTCTGTCTTGAGTCCCAGGTTTGTGTGTTCCACTGCCTACTTGACATCTTCCCTGGGATGTTCCAAAGACATCTTAAATGCAGTATATTCAAAACAGAATTTTTTTATTCTCCCCTACAAAAAAAATCCTATTTCTCTCTAATAGTCCCCCATCTCAGTAAATGGCACTAGCCACTCAGTTTCCTAAGCCAAAAGCCTAGACATTTTCCTTGATTTCTCCTTATCTCTCACTCTCCACATTCAATCCATTACCGAACCCTGTCATTTCTATCTCAACGCTATATCTCAAATCAATTCAGTTCTCTCCATTTCTACTGACATAACCTTGGCCTAAGACTGTAGCATTTTTCTCTGGGTAGCTGAAAATTTGTCTCCTTTTCAGTTTCCCATCTCAAGAGCTTTCCATATTCCTGAAGTGCTCCCCCTTGATTCCTTGTAGGGCCCACTCTCTCTTACCCCTTAGACCTTGGAATGACCACCACCTCCTATGAGAGGCCTTGTCTGTCTTCCATAACCAAAATAGGTTCCCACCCTTTTGAGCACACCCTCTCTTTATTTTCTTTATGGCAGTCACCACAATCTATAATTATCTTGTGTATTTATTTTTGTCTCTCCTGTAAGACTGAAGTCTCATGAGAATGAGCCCTCTGTCTTGTTTACAGCTGTAAACTCACGACCTAGTTCAGTGCCTGCTACACAGTGGGTGCTCAGTAAATATTTATGCAATAAGTGAATGAATGAATATTCTCCTCTTTTAGATAAATTTCCTTGAGTGAAAGAAAATTTTCTGGTCCAGGATATCATATTATATATATCATATTCTTTCCCCAAAAAAGTTCTTCTTGTTTGACGATCTAGTGAATCTAGTGGGCAAAACCTTTCTCTAGAGACAAGCCTTTATTTGTGCTTCCTAGAAAATTTTACTGAGGGACATTCGTTTAAGTGAAAACTTGCTTTCTTTCTGGAAAATCCTATCTGCTTTCACTGTAATTCTTAAGCATTGTTGAAAGTCACTGGGAATCAGAGAGATGAAAAGGGCTATAGAAATCATTTAGACTCTAAAGTTTGGAGTAATATGCTTCTTTTATGGATGAGGACCCAGAGTAGGGACGTGCCTTACCCAAAGTCATACAGTTAGTGGCAGGACCAGACTCAGTTTTCCTCATTACTAGTCTGGGGCTGTTTTCTCTCCCATTGCCAACCAGCTTATTTCAGCTCATAATAGTTCAGCAGCAGTCATTCAGGGGAAATCATGATCAAAAATCAATTTAAAATTAAAAACAAAAAAGTGGTTTCCAGAAAAGATTTCTTTCAAAAAGTTGAGTGTGTTTAGCTGAATATGACTTTTGTTGCAATAAATTCAGGGGCACAAGAAGAAAGCATAATCAAAAGGTCACAGCATTCACACATCCTTAGAGCAAAGACAAATGAGAAACAGTTAAGTCCCTAAGCCACAGTCTAGCGAATCACCCCGTTGTGCCCTACCCATAATGAAAGTTAGTAATACTACCATTATAA